AAAAATCAAAAGTATAGATATTATGATGTTAAAATAGATACAATACTATCAACTACTATCCCTTTCTAACAAACCAAAGCAGAGGATTAAGAAGATTATTAGCCTAAAAACCTAGACATCTTTTTAAAGGGCTTTCATTATATTATTTAATTTGTTTTTATTTTTTAAGTTTTGGGTACATACTTTTTGTTTTTTATTATTAATTATTTAATTAAGTTTAGTTTTGTAATAGTATGTAGATTTGAGTTCTAATTATAAAATTAAATTTTAGTTCTTTATTATTATTTTAAATTATGTTTAAGTTTAGATTTTAATAAAAAAATATTTTATGAAAATATTATTAATTTCATTTAAGTTTAAATTAAAAGTAAATAATATTTTATTAAATTTTAATTTAAAAAAAATTTAAGGCAAAATATCATATAATAAGTATATAAGTATATAAGTATATACTCACAAATTATCTAGTACTTGTTGAGTTAAATATCAAGTATAGATTTTCAAGTATTTGAATAAACACTAAATCTAAAAAATTATATCAAAAAATTTTTAAATTAAGCCTTAAATATAGGATTTTTTTTATTTTGTACCCTTAGGCATAAGATAAGGTATAATAAATACACATTTTTATAATTAAATTTTATTAAAAATATATTTATTATACTTTTAACTTATAATCTAATAACTTAAATTCATCTCATGTCATATCTAATCAGTACATGAAAATCCTCAGCCCCAGCCGATATTGGACGCCGATAGCCCTAGCCCAAGACGTTTGCGTTAAGCAGACGCAAACAGATCGTACTAGCCTCTACGTTATTTGGGCCGTGGGCCTAACTTAATTATGGACCATAAAAACACTATTGCCAGAGCAATCTTCGATTATTTTCAATTTTCCGCAGACGTGGTTTGTCGATACCAGTTCGACGCTTTTCGACCTGGAGATTTTGGAGCTTACAAAGTAATTTATTTAAAAAATAAATGTTTTTCTCATTAATTTAAAAATATGTTGAATGAAAATTAAAAAATTACCTCTTAAAATGACTTTTAAATAAATTTTTAAAAAATTTAAAATATA